TGCTTCTTGTCCAGGGTCACTTTCCTAGCACCCATGGGTGTGATGGAGGCTTTCCTTTGGACTGCTGCTGGGAGCCTCCAGCCTTCTGCACACATGCCTTTGAGACTTCTCTTGGTGTCATCATAGGTGTGGCCACGAGGGGTTCTGGGGTTCTCTCAGTGAGCTGCCAGAGCCTGCCAAGACCTGCTGGTTTCTGTCATCTCCCACTGTTATGCTTTTTTTTGGAGGGGGGTCTTTTTGAAACAGGGTCTCCCTGTAGCCCCAGCTATCCTGGAACTCACTATGTAGACCAGGCTGGCCTTGAACTCACAGAGATCTGCCTGCCTCTGCCTCCCGAGTGCTGGGATTAAAGGCGTGGACCACCACACCTGGCCTATTCTGACTTTTTAAAAAAATATTTTCCAGTTTTATGTGTGAGTGTATTGCCTAGATGCATGTAAGTGCACCCATGTCATGCAGTGCCCAGGAGGTCAGAAGAGGGCATCAGATCCTCTGGATCTGGGGTTAGAACGGTTGTTAGCCACCATGTGGGTGCTGGGAACTGAACCCCGGTCCTCTGCAAGAGCAGCCAGTACTCTTAACTGCTGAGCCACCTCTCTGGCCCTGTCATTTTTTTTAAACAGCTTTGCCAAGATAATTCACCACACAGTTCACACATTTAAGGTGTACCCACAGAGGTATGCACCATGCACCAATATCACTTTCTTTGCCAGAAAAGCCTGTAACCTTAGCCACCCCCAGGGGCCAGTACTGCATTCTCCATAGGTCTGCCTAATCTGGACATTTCAGACGTGGACCTGAGTAGCTTCTCTCAGTGAGTGTAATTGCTGCTAAATCCCTGGGGACATAAACAAGGTCCTCCCTTGGTTGCAAGAACAAACCAAGGTCCATTTCACCAAACTGCACTCTGGGGAACCCATGAGTTTATTGAGCTGACGTGCAGAGCAATGGTGAGGGGTCACTTACAGGTGTGTGGGTGCTCCCCACTAAGGCTGCACTGGAAGGTTTTCACCCAAACATGGATCATGGCTTCCCCATGGCCCCACAATGTCTCCTCCAGCCTATGTACAGCCCCTCCCCCAGGCCACGTACGGTTAGGCCTGAATTGCACATCCCAGCTTGGGAGATATGCCTGCACTCTCCCTACCCTCCTTCTGTCGGGGAGGCAGGGACAGTCAGCAAGCCCAGCTATGATGATCTTAGGCAAGAAGATGCTGCTGTGCTCAGGAAGATGGCGTCTGTCTAGGACAGTCCTGTAAGACAATGTTCTCGAAACCCTTTCAAGCACTGGCCTGTTTCCTAGTGTTTTACCTCAGTATTTCATCATGTGCATGCACCTGACATCACCCATTCACAAGCTCATGGATGTTTGGCGTGGTTTTCACTCTCAGGCTCTGGTTAATCATGCTGCTGTGCGACACAGAACAGTTCTGCAAGGACGAGTGCTTCACTTCTCTTGGATGTAGGAGAAGATCATCCTCTTCAGCTCACTACACAGCTTCAGGAACGCACACGGCCCTGCCAGAGATACACCTCTGAGGAGGGCGCTGTTCGCCCCCCAGCAACTATCAGCCGCCTGTCAATCTTCAGGGAGGGGCGGGGCCTTGTGAGCCCCTCCCTCCTGCGTGCCGGGGGCGCGGGGATCCGGCTCGTGCAGAGGCGGGTAAGGACCTCGGCCTTGGCCTCTACACGGCGGGGACGTCGTCGGGATGTTGTAGGCACTGGGCCGCTCGGCGCCATGTCCTCCCCGCGGAGCCGCAGGACCGGGACGGTGCTGCCCTGCCAGCACAGCGCAGCCCCAGGGCCGCAGGTGCAGTACCAAGTCCAGGAGGGGCAGCACCCAGCCGGGGAGGGGCAGCACTCAGCCCGGAAGGGACAGCACCCAGCCTGGGAGGGCAACACCATGCCTGGGAGGGGGACTGAACCGCAGCCCAGGCTCTGGGAGGGCTGGGGCCTGTGTCCGGGGCAACTGGAGTATTAAGCGGCTGTTAAAATCATAGATAGGAGGTATTCATGATATAGTGGAAGAAAAACACCCAGTTTACGGAAAGCATACTCCTAGGACAGAGAAACCTCAATACTAGGTGTGTATGGAGTGTAATACTAAACAATATGCAACACACAAAATACCACAACAACCTCCCCTCCCAGTGTTACAAAATACCAAGGCCTGTGAGAGTCGTTTATAGGTTTAGCTACTGCCCCTTTCCAAAACCTAAAAGGAGCCAAAGGTTAAAATCAGGAGTTGGGGGACTGGAGAGATGTTCAGCGGTTAAAGCACTGGCTGCTCTTGTAGAGGACCCAGGTTCGATTCCCAGCACCCACATGGTGGCTAACAACCTTCAGTAGCTCCAGTTCCAGGGCATCTGATGCCCTCTTCTGGCCTCTGCAGGCACCTACACTCATGTGCACATATCCACATATAGACACATGCACACATATAATTTTGTTTTGTTTTGTTGAGACAGAGCCTCACTATGTAGCCCTGGCTAGCCTGGAGCTCACTATGTAGGCCAGACTGACCTTGAACTCACAGAGATTCACCTTCCTCTCTTGATCCCCAGTGCTGGGAATTAAAGGCGAGTGCCATGACACCCAGTAATTTTTAAATTTTATTTTATTATGTTGTGTGTGCATGTGCTCCAAGGGGGCTTGTGTGGAGGTCAGAGGACTACTTGGAGTTGGTTCTCTCTACCCACCATGTGGGTCCCAGGGATCCAACTCAGGTCATCAGGTTTAAATTGCAAGTGCCTTTACCTGCTGAGCCATTTCCCTGGCCTCAATGATCTATTATAAATTAAACATTCCATATCCTAGTCCAAAGAGGAGAACCCTTTCCACCCTCCACACCCTTCCGTGAGTCTCTCGGAATACCAGATCCACCATGCTAACTCCTAGGGTACCATGTATGTCCTCTTCCCTGACTTGTTAGCCCCTCAGTATGCCACCTAACACCATGGTGTCTGTCCCTCCTGGTTTCCTGAACTTTTGTATTAGCAGGTCACACGGCATACACTGCTCATTGTTTTTACTCAGTGGTAAGATTTTTTTAGATAAAACTTTGTAAGTGGACCAGAGCAACTGAGGACAGAACCCGAGTGTCTGCAGTGTTTTCTATGTCCCTGGTTTTCTTCCATTGCCTTGATTCAGACTAAAGTGAGCATGAGCTGAAATGCCAGGGTCTGTGAATGCCATACCAGCCTGGGCTCATTACACCAGAGCAGTTGTGCTTCTTTGCATTGTTTTTGAAACAGGGTCTCATGTAGCCCAGGCTGCCCTCAAAGTGGCAATGTAATCATCTTGAACGCCTGATCCTCCTGCCTCCACCATCCAGGTGCTGGGATGACCACGCCAGGTTTATGCAGTTCTGGGGGTTGAACCCAAAGTTCTGCACATTCTAGGCAAACACTCCACCACTGTCACACCCCCCAGTCAGTTATGTGTAAGAGTGATCTCTGAGACCTTGGACGATGGGATTAGTCCCCCATATTGACTGTGAGGAAGGCTGGGGGTGGAGCCCTGGCCTGGCACGCATGATACTGTGGCTTCTGTTTCAGCACCAAGATTGGGGGACTCCTGTGAAGAAGGGACAGGATTTGACCACTGGCCTCATCTCTCTGCAGCCCTTGTGATATTGCCGCTGAGGAGATGTTTCAGTTGGTTATGACTGCCATGCAAGCCTTGGGCCCTGAGTTTGAATCTCTAGTACTCATATAAGAAGCCAGGGGTGGGTGGCATGTACCTATAATCCCAGTCCTGGGGAGACTAAGACAGGAGGGTCCCTGGAGCTCACTAGCCAGCCAGTCTAGCTGGGAGGGAGGGGTGAACCCCAGGTTCGGTGAGAAACCCTGTTTCAAGAAATAAAATAGAGTTGGGTGTGGTGGCACACACTGTTAATCCCTACACTTGGGAGGCAGAGGCAGGTGGATCTCTGAGATTGAGACCAGCCTGGGCTACATACAGAGTTCCAGGCCAACTGGGGCTATAGGGAGACCTGTCTCAAAAAATGAAAGAATGAATGAATGAATCAATGAGTGAAGTACAGAGTGAGTGAGGAAGACATCTGATGTAGATCTCTGACCACACACACAAGCAAGGAACACAATGTATACACACAGATGCAGGCACACTGTACAGATATACGCTATATACAAATATATGTACATGTGTGTATATACACACAATGCTACATACAAAATAAAACCCTTGTTTGCTTTTTAAAATATTTTGACTTATTGGTTTTTATTTTATGTGTATGCATGTATTGCCTGCATGTGTGTAAGTGCACTGGTGTTGTACAATGCATGTGGAGGTCAGAAGCGGGTGTTGGATCTCTTGGAACTGGAGTTACAGACAGTTGTTACCTGCCATGTGGGTGCTAGGAATTGGACCCGGGTCCTCTGCAGGAGTAGCGAGTGCTCTAACCACTGAGTCATCTCTCCAGCCCTCCTTGTTTGCTTTTTATGTTGTTTTTATTCTGGTTTTCTTTTTTTTTTTTTTTTTTTGTCTCTTTTGTTATTGCTGTTTTGGTTTGGTTTGGGTTTTTTTGAGGCAGGGTCCCCTTGTAGTCCCAGCTGACCTGGAACTCACTATTTCACAGAGACCCTCCTGCCTCTGCCTCCAGAGTGCTGGGATTAAAGCCCTGTGCCACCACACTCGATTCAATAAACCCTCATGGGGCCAGAGAGCTGGCTCAGTGGTTAAGAGTACTGACTGTTCTTCCAGAGGACTAGGGGTTCAATTCCCAGCATCCACATGGTGGCTAACAACTGTCCATAATTTCAGTTCCGGGGTATCCAACACCCTCTTCTGGCCTCTGTGGGCATTGCATGCCACAGGAGCACTTACATACATGCAGGCAATACATTCATACACGTAAAATAAAAATAAGTAAAATATTTTAAAAGTCAAATCCTCGCAATGAAATTTTACAGTCCAACATCTGAAGCATGTCTCCTAAAGTCCCCTGTTCTTGGTGACCTTAAGGCGCCCTCTACCAGGATCAGGACTTGGAACCCCATGGACCAGTCCCTTGAAAGATGTCCTGTGACAGGAGATGAAGAGCCCTCGGAGGAAGAGCCCCAGAACAAAGAGCTCACTGAGGGACAGCACATATCCAGCAACATGTTTCATACTGACACGTCCCTGTCCTGGGGCTTCAAGACCAAAGAGGTGCGCATCACCAAGCTCCCAGACCACTTCCAGTCTAAAAGGACAGAGAACTTCCTGATTCTGGTGGCCTTCTCCATTGGGCTGGGCAGCATGTGGCGATTCCCATATCTGTGCCACAAGAATGGAGGAGGTGAGTCCAGGTCCAGGAGGCGAGGCTGGGATCCTGGGGAGGAAGGAGAGGAGGTGAAGACAGAGGGGTCTCCCAGCCGCCTGAGCAGGCCCCACCTCCCTCTCAGGCAGCTTCCTGTTGATATACTTCATCCTGCTGCTGCTCCTGGGCATTCCCCTCTTGTACATGGAGATGGTCATAGGACAGTGGCTGCACATGGACAACATCCAGGCCTGGAAGCATCTGGTCCCCTGGCTGGGCGGCCTGGGCTATGCCAGCATACTGGTAGGTATGGGGCCAGCAGACCTGCTGAGCTCCCAGTTCCCGGCCTCCCGCCTCAGGTGCACCATATCCTCCCTAGGCCTGCATCTTGGTGAGTTTGTACAATAGCACCCTGGTCTCTTGGAGCCTCTACTACCTGGGCCACTCCGTCATCTATCCCCCACCCTGGGAACACTGTCCCCTGGTAAAGAACATCACTATGGCAGGTGAGGAGAAGGACCCAATTCCACCAGGAGGGGAAGCCAGTGGCTGAGGTGCCAGAGCTAAGGGGAGGAGGCTGGAGAGATGGCTCAGCGGTTAAGAGCACCAGCTACTCTGGCAGAGGACCGGGGTTCAGTTTCCAGCATCCACATGGTAGCTAACAACTGTCCACAACTCCAGTTCCAGGGAGTCCAACACCCTCTTCTGGCCTCCACGTGCCCTGCCTGCATATGGTGCAATTACATACGTGCAGGCAAACATACACATAAAATAGATCTTTTTTTTTTTTTCGGAGCTGAGGACTGAACCCAGGGCCTTGGGCTTGCTAGGCAAGCACTCTACCACTGAGCTAAATCCCCAACCCCAAAATAAATCTTTTTAAATGAAGAGCTAGTGGGGACACCGAGTGAGATGGTGCCTAAGAGCCTGGGTCTGCCCCACCCCCAGACCTCTCCTGCCTTCAGACTGTGTCCCACCAGTATTTCTGGTACCACACCACCCTGTGAGCTTCGGCCCGACTGGAGGAAGGGATCGAGATGCTGGTCTTGAACCTCAGCCTGTGCCTCCTTGTGGCCTGGATCTTCCTCTACATAACCACGATCTCTAGGATGAAGATTCCAGCACTAGTAAGTGTCCCGAACCTGCCCTACCCCAAGGCTTCCTGTCTGTTCACCAGTGGCCACCAGTGTCTCCAGCAGGGGTCTGAGGAAGAGACCACACTCACCTCAGGGATGGTCTGTGACCCAGCTCCCTGGAGACCAACCTTACACCCACATCACCGCCCCATCACTCATCTCTGCCAGCCACCTGTGCGTGGTAATTTTCAGAGGAGCTGTTCGGCCTGTTTCCTTTCTAGTACCCTGTCTGTGGCGTGTATGTCAAGCCACTGTCACCTTACATGGAATTTTTTCCCCACTTTTTGATGAAGTCACTTTTGTTGTCACTATACCAAATGCCTGACAAGAAGACACTTAATGGAAGGAGGATTTACTTGGGTTCACAGTTGGAGGGTATACCTTCGGAGGGGAGGCATGGCAGCATGCAGTGCTGTGGCACAGGGAGCTCACAGATGGAACTCCTACACCCTCAGATCTCCACAGAACAGGATGGTGCTCAGCTGGCTTATTCCATCCAAGCCCCCATCCCATTCAGGCTCTGTCTGTCCCTCTCCCTCAGTCCTCCTTGAAACAGCTCACAGACACACCCAGAGGTGTGCCCCTCCCCCCAGTCTCTAGGGTGATTCTGAATCCAGTCAAGTTGACAATGGATTGAGGACATGGCTTAGTAAACTTAAGGAGTCTAATCTCTAGCACCTGTGTAAAAAGTCATGGTGCTGCACACTTGTAATCCCAGCACTGGGGTCATGGAGACAAGTGGGGGTTGGAGAGATGGCTCAGTGGTTAAGAGCACTAGCTGCTCTTGCAGAAGGCCAGAGTTTCGTTCTGAGCATTCATGTCAGGGAGCTCACAACTGCCTGTAACTCCAGCTTCAGCAGATCTGATTCCCTCTTCTGGACTCTTTCAGCACTACACACACACACACACACACTATATATATATATATATGGTAGACAGCAGCACCTGAGGAATGACACCCGACATTGACCTCTGGCCACCACACACATGTGCATGCAAACCTGCACACACACAAAGAATTAATCATCACAGGGCTTTTCAGCACCCACTGAAAAGCAAGCCCCCCACAAACCCACACAACAATCATGCACCCACCCGGCAGTCAGGCACCCACACAGCAATTGCGCACCCTTCTCCTATGTTTATTTCTTTTCCTCTCCCTTCACCTAGCTACAAAGACTCTTCCACATAGTGCTCAGTCCTGCTGGCTCCTCTCCTCCTTACCATCCACATGAGCCACTAGTCCAAGTCATGACTGGCTGCCCCACTGGTGAAAAGCTTGGAGTGGCCCCTCATTGTCGTCTCCCTCGAATAACCTCCTGCTTTGCCCTCCTCTACTCCCGGGCCCCCTGACCACCACCCAGCTTCTATCCTGATGCCCCTCAGCCCCCACTAATGTCTGCCTCTGTCTTCTGCCTCCCTGCCTTTGCCGACCCCCCCACTAGATGCTGATCTTCACCATAGTCTTCCTCTACGTCATCCTCCTCTGCTTCTTCATCCGCAGTCTCTTTCTGGAAGGTGCAGTGGACAGCCTCAGGAGCTTGGTGACCACAGAGGTGAGGCCAGAGCTCCAGGCTCCCTCCTACCTCACCTTGGGCCTGCTCTGTAGCACCCTGTACCCCATCCCCATCCAATCCCAAACACCTTTCCCTTCCACAGGTCTCCATCCTGAAATCGCCCGACACGTGGCGTCAGGCCGGAGGCCATGTGCTCTATTCCTTGGGTCTAGGCATGGGCACCATCATCACTTTCTCCTCCTACCACTTGAGAGGTGACACCCCTGTCAAGTCAGCCTCCTTCCTGGCCGTGGTCAACCTGGCGACTTCAGTGCTGACCACGTCCATCACATTCCTGGTGTTGAGGTTCTGGGTTGCAACCAGCGGATCCACCTGCGTTGAGAAGTGAGTCACAACCTTGCAGGTACCAGCAGAGGGGCCCCTGCCTCACCCACCCCTGCCTGGTACTCCATCAGCCCCAAAGGCCTTCAAGCTCAAGCCCCTCTCTCAGTATCCAATATCCCATTTAACTCACAAGGGTTGGTTGGCCTAGACTGTGTTTGAGTCAGGCAGGAGAAAGCACTTACATCTGAACTTTGCCCCAGACACTCTGCCTTATTTGATGTTGGGTGTGCCCAGGCACTGGGATTTTTAACAGGCCCGTAGGTTCCCTTCCAATTAGGATGTCAAAGGCTGGAAAGATCGGTGATTCTGTGGTAGCAGTGACTTGTGTTTGGTGCACGGGTGCCACAGTGCACGTGTGTGCACGACCTATGTCCTCTCCTACTGTGTTTGAGAAAGCCATTCTGGTGCACTGCTGCACAGACAAGGGGACACGGATGGATTTTGGATGTTGTGTCAGACACAAAGGACTGCTCAGGGCGGGAATCAGGCAACAGGCAGAGGAAGGACGGCTGAGGTTGACCGGCATGTGCGGGCGCGCGCACACACACACACGCCCCCGCCACACACTCCCAACAAACAAAAAAGAGACGTTGGCTACAGAAAACATCCTCTGTGTCCTGCTGGGCTTCTCTCTGAGAGTCACCCAGTGTGCTCACTTAGCGTCTGTTCCTGTTGAAGGGACCTTGGGTCCTTAGTGGTCTACATCTTGGCCACCTCACTACCTTTAGTCCTCTCCCTTGTTGTCGATGGCAGAGGAGCCAGCCCCATTCTCCACCTGTCTCATATTCCCCTCTAACCCCATCAGGAATGTCTCCAATTTGATTGAGAAGATATCGGAGGGCATGCTGCCCCAGGAGGCCTGGCCTCCCCAAGGCATCGTGGGCAGACCCCCGGAGGACTACCTGGACTGGATCATCCAGCTCCCCAGGCACCTCCAGGAGGAGGTCTTCCATGGCTCCCTGCCCTGCAGCATCCTGGTACAGAAGGAAAAGGTGTGTGGGGGAGGAAGGCTGGGCCTGGCAGCCTTGTGGCAAGCAACAGCCGTAACCATGGTCCCATCGCCACATCCCCGTGCCAGCGACACTGCGGCTCACATCAACCCAGAGAGCTCTGGCTGACGGGGGAAACCCAGCAGGTGAAATCACCTCCTGACTTGCCTGGCCCACATACCCAAGAAGGAAGCTCTGGGTACCTTTCCCTCCAACTGCCCTTTCTGGGTGCCTCTGCCTCTGCCCAAGACAGACATTGCTAATCAATTACCACACCATTCCCCACCCCATCTAGACACTGCACTGCCTCAGAGCCCTTCTCGCCCACAGTTCATGGAGGGCCCTGGCCTTGTGTACGTGGTCTTCTCTCAAGCTGTCTGTTTCCCGGTTCCTCTTTCTGGGCCATCATGTTCTTCCTCGCTCTGGTCATTATTGAATTGGGTACCATGATTGTTCTCCTGGAGGGCATCGTGCTTCCCCTGCAGAACTGCATCCCCATCTTCTCAAATCATCCCAAGCTGGTCTCAGGTGCAGAGAACTCCCACCCCAGCAAAAACAAAAAAGCAATCCTGTCTCGTCACCCTCCCGACACCCAGCTCACCCCAAACATGCAGGGTTTGCGTGGACCCCTGACCTCAGTGTACCCCAATCTGCCTCCGCCCTTAGTGGTCGTCTGTTTGGGAGGACTTCTGGGCAGTCTTGTCTTCACCAGCCACCCCGGCAGCTATGTGGTACTCCTGTTTGATGACCACCTGGTTCCCATGGTCCTGGCCATTATTGTGGTGTTCCAGAACTTGTCTTTGACTTGGATCTATGGAATCAGGAGGTGATTTCCAATTCTTGTGGTGGTGGTGGTGGGTCTGCTTAGCTATGGATCCCCTTCCAGGCCTTCGGGGGGTGGGGACTCAGGTGCTCTATGGGCATAATGGCCCTCAGATGGCAGGAAGATCCTGCAAGAGAACATCAGGAGCTAGTGACTGATAGCACACCCAGACTCCAAATGTCCTGTCACCTTCCCCACCCAGGTTTGGGGCTGAGATGTTCTGCCATCTGTGGACGCCCTTCACCTTACTGTGGAGTTTCATGTCATTGCCCGTGCTGCTGGCTCTGCTCATCCTCTGCTTCCTGAATCTCTACTACAAGGACTATTACATCTCCTGGAATGATGACACGGTCAGCCCCCAGAACCCCAAAACAAGAGCACACAGCCCGAGTCCCCCACTCACACACCTTGCCCCAGGGACCTTGGGAGCCCCACCCCAGAGCACACAGGCCAAGCCCCCTGACTCACCCACCCTGCCCCAGGGACCTCGGGAACCCCACAGCCAGCGCATATGGACTGACCACCCACCCTAACCCTTGATCTCCCCATTTCCAGAGCCAGGAAATGAAGCAGCCTTACCTAAACACAGACCTGGGCTGGGTCGCCTTCCTCAGCATCCTGGTCCTGCTGCCCATCCCCATCCACCTGCTGCAGCACTGGTGGTACTTGGAGGACAGCACCCACTCTGACCTTTTAGAAAAGCCTCTGTCCTCCAGAAAGATGACCATGGGGCCTAATAAGGACTTCCAGCGGCCTCTGTCCACCAGAAGGAGAACCACCTCAAGCCAGGAAAAAGGCACAAGCTCACTCCCAGCAAGCAAGAGTCCCCAGGAGGCGTTCCTGGGGCCAGAAAACCTGTTAAGGAGGGACTCTGACAGCTACCCCAGCTTCAGCCTGCCTGGTGGGCCCATTCCCCTGACCACTCTCTGAGGCACCAGAGCCCATGGCCCTGGGCAGATGATCACAGCCTACCTACCAGTTCTGGGTAGCAGTGACAGACAAGAGGCTGCCTGAGGAAAGCCCGGTAGGGGCTCTGCTTGGTAAGTGATCGTATCACCAGCTTTTGCTCACTGGTGGTGTGGACCATGGAAGGAGAGGCAGGCAGAAACATCTAAGCTGGACAGTCCTCACTGGGCATCTGATAGACATGAGGAAGGAGCATCTCTTTTCCTGGAAGGATGCCCATCCCCCCAACAGACTGGACGCTATGCCCAGGGCAGGCCAAGGGGCCCCTTGCTGTCTATGACACAAAGACAGTTTGGGTGTGCCCATATGGGTATCCAGCACTGTGCAGCCCTGCCCAATTGCTACACTGGTCAGCCAGGTTGCTGACCTACTAGGATTGGTCTTGGAGCAGTGCTAAGGCCACAGCATTGACTGCCAATAAATGAATTGGTGGGATGTGTGCACCAGCTGTGAGTGTGGTGTTCTCTCTGGGGGGTGGGGGAGCTATGGCTTCAACCTCTCTCATTCACACAGTGCACCATGCCCACGGCAGCAGCCTAAACACACCACCAGCCTGGGGACTTGGGGCCCTTTCTGCCATGGGGACATAGGTTACTGGGACTGTCCTGAAGTTGGCCCTCCCATGAGGAAACTTCAGCAAGTGACATCTCCCAAGTCCAGAGGTGTAACCAGCTCTCACCTGGTAATCAGCTACCATGCTGACCGCGCCCCCCCCAGGATGAAGTCTGTGCCCCCACTCATCTCAGTGTTCCACCAATGCTGTGTAGCAACTTCTGGGGTACAGACTTTTTCCAACCACAGGGATGTGATCCCCACCGCCATCCACTGGCCTCCCAAACCTGTCACCTGCCCTTCACCTTCTATTCACCCCTAACGTCTTAAACGGTCTTTATTACACTCCTGAGGGCTTTTGGAGGAGACACATCAGACACTAGAAAACTTACCAGAAAAACTGACACTCCACACATGTATGTTGGCAAAGCTTCCTTTCTTCCCTTTTTTCTTGTGTGTGTGTGTGTGTGCAGTGCACAAAGAGACCAGAAGAAGGCATCAGATCCCCTGGACCCAGAGTAACAGATGGTTGTGAGTTACCACGAGACTTCTCTGCAAGAGCAGCAAGTGCTCTTGACCACTGGGCCATCGCTCCAAACTTTTTTCTTATTGGAGTTAAAAATTGTGAAAAGCAGCCAGATGTGGTGGCACATGCCTTTGATCCCAGCACTCAGGAGGCAGAGGTAGGCGAATCTCTCTAAGTTTGAGGTTGGCCTGGTGTCTTAGTTTGTTCTCTATTGCTGTGACAAAACACTCTGACCAGTACCAACTTGGGGAGGAAAGGGTTTATTTGTCTTA